TTCTAAACATCTAGAAAGACTAGATGTTTCAAATAAGGACTAAAGTTTGTCCACTATATACACAGTAGTGTTGAATAAACTACACACATGTAACAATGGTTAGGTCTGAAAGTGTCTTCTACATAGAAACATTCTAATCTAGAACACTTCATTTCTCCCAGTACCTCCTTTCTGCCATCCATCCAACATTGGGCAAGTACAGGCACAGGTGTCACTTAGATGTGATTTACAATTTCACTTCCAAAGGCCCTTTTCAATGAATTCAATGAAGACGGCCTTTCAATGAATTTTAACACAAAGTGTACAAAATGTGTTAGTTTACTAACTCTACTTTTGTCATACATTGGCAACCTCTTTAATATCTAGAGACTAGATATTATAAAATTGGGACCCATTGGTCCAGTATATACAAAATATATACAGTAAAGTTAAACAAAATGCATGTAACATATAGAGCAATGGATAAGTTGAAATGTTCTAGTACCTGCTAGCAAAACATCTTTTGCAGTCTTCCCTCCCACCTCCCTAAACCCAATGAACAAGCACAGAGTATACTGTTCAGAGAGGAGGTTTAACAATTCCATTTCCAAAGACAGTGTTTCCCATCAGTTTTTAAAAGCTATTTACAGGAAGCATTATTCTACTAAAACTACTTTTAAATACATCAAGCACTTCTAAACATCTAGAAAGAATAGATATTTCATATAAGAACTTACTTGTCCACTATGTACACAGCACTGTTAAATAAAATTGCACACATGTAACAATGGTTATAATCTGAGGTATCTTCTAAATATGACCATTTGGCCTGAACCATTTCCTCCCTCACTTCCTTCTCTCCACCGCCAATCCAGTGGACAAGTACATGCATATGTAATGCTTAGAGGTGGCTGAACAAATTCATATCCAAAAGTCATTTACAGAAGACAAGCTTTCCTATGAATTTCAATAAAGTATACAAAATGTGCTAATACACTGGCAACCCCTTTAACATCTAGAGACTAGATGTTGCAAAACTGGAACTCAATTTGTCCATTATATACACTATATACACAGCAAAACAAAATGAACATACAAAAAATGGTTTTGTCTGAAAATGTCCTGGTATGAACACACTAGCATATTACCTTTTGCAATTCTTTCCCTCCCTCCTCCAAACCACTGAACAAGTATAGACAATAGTATACTGCTCAGACAGGTGGTTTAACTTCCCAAAGACAGTACTTCCTGTGAATTTTAGCAAAAAGATATTTACAAAGTGATATTTTACTACCTCTACATTTAACATACGTTGGGCACTTGTAAACATCTAGATGGACTAGATGTTTCAAATAAGGACTTAATTTGTCCACTATATACAGAGCAGTACTGAATGAACTGCACACATGTAACAGTTATAATCTGAAACTGTCTTCAAAATACCAGCATTCTAGCCATTCTAAGACCAACCCCCTTCTCTCTCTCCCCCCCACCAACCCAGAGGGCTATCATGCTCAAATTTTCAGAAGACAATCCTTCCTAGAAATTTTAACACAAAATGTACAAAATGTATTATTTACTATTTTTGTCATACACTGCCAACCTCTTTAACATCTAGAAAGACTAGATGTTGTAAATTAGGACTCATTTGTCCATTATATACACTATATACACAGCAAAGTGAAACAAAATGCAGGAACATAAAAAAGACAATGGTTAATCTTGCCTCACTATAAACACACTGGCACAGAGCTCTTTGCACTTCCTTCTCCTCCCCGCGACCTTGAACCAGTGCACAAACAAACACAGTGCATACTGCGTACTGTTCAAAAAGGTGGTTTGGCCACCCCTCCCCCCACAAAACAACATTTCATACGAATTTTAACAAAAAGATATTTACAAAATGTCTTTTTACTACCTCTACTTTGAACATATATCAGGCACTTTAGAAGATCTAGAAAGACTAGATATTTCAAAAAAGTACTTATGGTCAACTACACATACAGTAGTAAGGAGTAAAATGCACACACAAAACAATGGTTCTAATATGCAAATGTTTTCTGTGACCAGTCTGGCACAGAACCTTCTTTTCTTCCTCCTCAACGTCTTCCATTCCATGTCCTCTAACCCACTGAACAAACGTGGACCTCTGTGGCTCCTGATGTTGCCTCTAGAGGTGGTCAAACAACTCCATTTCGAAAAGTCATTTCCAGAAGACATTTCTTTTCTACGGTTTTTTTTTTAAAGAAACAAATGGGCATTTACAAGACATGTGACTTTAACTCTATAATACGTCGGCAACCTCTTCACATCTAGAAGGCCTATATGTAGAGAAAAGTTTTCTTTCCAAAGGTTGGGGGGAAAGTTGAGAGCAGCTTTTTCATATTATATACACAGGCCTTCTATAAACGGCCAGTAAATCTTCCCAAAGGGTGGCTGGCACTTCCTGTTGGCCGCGTGTGGTACGTTATAATACCATTTCTATCTTCCCACATCGAGGTCTTGGTAGAACGATGACCAACTGCCCGATGACCCGCTAACGTTCCACCCATCGTCGACCGGGGCTCCGCTCACCTTCCGGGCCTGTTAAGGCCTTTGTCTGTCATTGTCCGGACGATGTGAGGTCTCGTCCAACTGGGGCAGAGAGGTCACCTCAGGTCCCGGATATGCGTGGGCTCCAAGGCCGAAGGGTGGCTGAGCTGGCGTCCACATAGAGCCCCCTTCCCGGGCCCTCGAAGGTCTAATGGCCCTCCGCAGTGTTCCAGTGGCCGCTATTTTTCTCACCCTGCCACGCCCAACGCCCAAAGGCGCGACGTCCTCCGTGGCGTGACGGAGGCTTGCCTAACCCCTGCAGCGTGGGGTCAAGAGACCCGGCGGTGGGTGGGATCTGGGCTCCGAGGGGCCGCCGCCATTAGGTCGCGGAAGTGGCGGTGCGGGAGCAGTTTGTTGCTGCTTCCAGGCTCGGGCCCTGCCAGTGGGCGGCTGCGGCGAGGGCTCTGGGGCTCGGTAAGACACAGCCTGAGCTTGTCCCGGGGGCCCCCCAGTTCACCTGCCGACCAGAGGCCGGAGGGCCTGGAGGGCCCTGGAGGGCCCCGGGCTAGAAGGCCGCGATCCGCTTCTCACTGCGCTCTCTGCCGGAACTCGAAGGTGTTTATATAAGTAAAAATATTTAAAACCATCTGTGTGCAGTCCATCTGAGTGGACTTTATTTTCAACTTATTTGGGTAAATATCAAGGAGTGTGATTGCTGGATCATGTGGTAAGAGTTTGGTTAATTTTGTAAGACATTGCCAAAAGTTGCTGGACCATTTTTCATTTTTTTGAGCGGTGAATGAGAGTTCCTATTTCTTCACATCCTTACCAGCATTTTGTGTTTTCAGTGTTCTGCATTTTGTCCATTGTAATAGGTATATAGTGTTATCTTATTTTTTAAACTTCCAATTCCCGAATGACATATGATGTGGAGCATTTTTTCATATGCTCATTTTCCATTTGCATATATTTGGTAAAATGTCTTCAGATCTTTTGCCTGCTTTTAATCATGTTGTTTATATTATTATTGTTGAGTTTTGGGTTTTTTATATATTTTAGATAATAGTCCTTTATTAGATATGTCTTTTGCAAGTATTTTCTCGCAGTCTGTAGCAGAAAGACATGTCTTTCATTCTTTTGAAGTTTGCTAGTATTTTATTAAGGACTTTTACATCTGTATTCATAAGTGATGTTGGTCTTTTTGTGGTATCTTTTCTGGTTTGGTACGATACTGGTCTCATTGAATGAGTTGGGATGTGTTCCCTCCTTTTTTACTAGAAGAGTTTGTGAAAAATTGGTGTTAATGCTTTTTTTCTTTTTGAACGTTTGGTGTAATTTGGTGGTGAAACCATCTGGACCTTTGCTTTTCTTTGTGGGTAGTTTTTTGATTACCAATTCAGTCTTTTCAGTTATAGGTCTATTCACATTGTCTCTTTATTCTTGTGTCAACTTCAGTAGTTTGTGTGTGTTTAGGAATTTGTCCATTTCATTTAGGTTATCTAATTTTTTGGCATACAGTTGTTCATGATATTTCTTTATAATCCTTTTATTTCTTTAAGGTAAGTAGTGGCATCCTCTCTTTAATTTTTCATTCTAGTAATTTGAGTCTTGTCTCCTTTTTTTCTTGGTCCATCTAGCCTAAGTTTTTTTTTTCAGTTTTATTCATCTTTCCAAAGAACTTATTTTGGTTTTGTTGATTTTTCTCTATTGTTTTCTATTCCCTGTTTCATTAATTTCTATTCTAATCTTTATTATTTCCTTCCCTCTGCTTCCTTTAGGAAGTTGTTTTTCTTTTTTTAGTGTCTTATGGTAAAGGAAAATACAGTTAATGTGATTTTATTTTTAGTAGAAGATGGAACTTAAATTTTCTCCTAAGAGAAAAACCTTGAACAATTACAGTAGGAAATATTTTGATTACAAACTGCTCTTTTCAGAAATGCTGTTTCAGAAGGGATTAGCGTGTCAAAAGAGAGTGATTTTAATCAGAAAACTCTTTTTCTTTGGTTTTTTACATGAATTTCTTTTTAACATCTTTATTGGAGTATAATTGCTTTACAATGGTGTGTTAGTTTCTGCTTTATAACAAAGTGAATCAGTTATACGTATACATATGTTCCCATATCTCTTCCCTCTTGCGTCTCCCTCCCTCCCACCCTCCCTGTCCCACCCCTCTAGGTGTTCACAAACCACCGAGCTGATCTCCCTGTGCTATGTGGCTGCTTCCCACTAGCTATCTATTTTACGTTTGGTAGTGTATATATGTCCATGCCACTCAGAAAACTCTTTTTTAACCAAAGCAATATTATTTAAAAAAAAATTTATTGGAGTATAGTTGATAGAAAACTCTTATATTTTAATGTGAGTAAAGTACTACCAATACTGCCATACTACATAGTTTGAAAAATAGGTTCATGGAATCGTAGGTATTGGTGTTCTATTTGATAATGCACCAAAGAGATAAATAATGTTTTTACCTCTTCTCTTTTCAGATAAAGTCAGTGGTTCTGGAAATAACTCTGATATGATGGAAAACAGCAAGGAAGAGGTAAGAATAATTTGAAGCATTTAAAAGATATTTATTAATTAATGCTAATCAACTAGAGTATGTCATCAGGTTGCTTTTATTTAATACATGCATGTGTTTGAGTTTACTGTTATACCCAAGTATTATTACAGTACTTCATTTTGGGTCGTTGTCCACTTTTTGATGGTGTTCATTGTTTTTGTTATTGTTGTGGTTTGCTTCAGCTGTATTGCTAAAGTCAGACAGCTAAAGGCTTGCTAACAGATAGGTATTTGAGTGTTATTATATTGCAACAGTGGTGCCCAAGGTGGTTGTTATGGGCATGACCCCATGGTTCTGAGATCTCTCAAAACTGAGTATTTTAGAGTCTCTTAAGCAGTATTATTGGAACCCATCCTGAGGTCCTTCACCTGATACCCCAGCCTACACTACAGTTTTAGGATTCTTCCCACCTAGTGTAAAAAATTGAATCCAATAAAATATACTGATTATATTGGCAAAACCAAGGTAAATTTAGTATCTCAAAGGAAATCGTGGAAGGTATTCTGTGCCATATGTTAGGATAGAGAAAGTGACACATGTTTAGATCCTTAAAACTCTCTGCCCCTGTTGGGATCTGATTACCTCTACACCTTTGTTTTGTCTTTGTTGGCTTAGGCCGAGATCATGATATAGCAGTGTATCATCTTCTGTACCTCAAAATTCAACAGTAACAATTTAATGAAAAAAATTAATCTTAAATCAAGGAAACTTGAGAGTAAATTAGAATTAGTTTTTGAAGTTCCTTTTAGAAAAATACTTTAGGCATAAAAATTATATCTCATTCTATCACTATATTAGACATCTTGGTATAGGGAAACAGTTAATTGTAGGGATGTTTCTCTGAGAGTTTTACTCACCTTTGTATTTATTTCTCGCATTTAGGGAGCTAGCTCTTCAGAAAAATCCAAATCATCAGGATCATCACGATCAAAGAGGTTGGTTGATGTTGAAGGGAAAAAAGTTACTTTCTTTTTCAGGTTGTTTTATTTTCTTTTTCTTAGAATAATCTTTTTTTCTAAACTTAAAGCGCTCTGTTCTCAGTAAACTTATACAAACATATATATTTTTAAAAGGGCAGTATAGTATAATGAATCTCTTGTATCCATCACTTGACTTTTAATTTTAATTAAAAATTTCCCAGGAGGGGATTTATTATATATTAGTGGCCCTGGCAATATGTAGATAATTTGTCAGATAATATATGTGCTTTAAAAACAAGGAGAAAAGGGGAAATGAAATGTTGAATGCCTCATGAGGCAATCTGAGTTTTTTAGGGTTATATGAAATTGTCTAGGATGGAGACTGGTAGCCATCATAGTTATGAGGAAGTTATAAGAAGATCAAAGAGTGGTTCAAATCCTTGTCTGTGTTAAATTGTCAAAGTGAATTGTATGTAACAACTGAAACTACTTCAAAGCATAATGTAATGCATAATATAACTGTGGAGTGTAGTTTGTATTAGAAGTTTGCAATTTATTCTATTGGACTTTTACTTTTTTGAACCAGTGGAAATGTCTCTTAATAATCACAGCTTGCTTGTTATTAACTTATTCCCTAAAGTAGTGATTCTTAAATAGGAGTTCCCTTTAAAATCTTCCTCATAGCTTTTTCAGAATGCACATGCTCTGATCCTCCCAAGACCTACTAAATCATAATATTCAGTTATATGGTATAGAGATGTATGCTTCCCTAGGTGATTCTGATATGTATCCCTGGTTAAGAGCCACTGCTTAATCTAAACATGTTATTTATGTTACTTGGGTGTTTTTCCAATAGCAGAAATGTCCATAATTCTGTGGACTTAATTCTCTCATAGGAAACCTTCAATTGTAACAAAGTATGTAGAATCTGATGATGAAAAACCTTTGGATGAAACTGTAAATGAAGATGCTTCTAATGAAAATTCAGAAAATGATATTACTATGCAAAGCTTGCCAAAAGGTAAAGTGTATTAATTTTTCATATGAAGTTAAAGTTGAAATGCATTTTTAAATGTCATTACTATAAAATTGGAACTTGATTACTTTAAGCTGTGTGTGAAGGACCAAACCTAATATTTTGATAGTGATGGTCTGGAAATGTATTAGTATGGTAATGATAATGTGTGTTACTGAGGTTCAAAATTTAGAATATTCAGTCAGGTTTGTTAAGAAGAAGACTTATTTTCTCTTTCCATTGGGTTTTAGAAAAGGGATTTTATTTTCCAAATTATACTTGAATGTGGAAGTTGGTTTAAAAATTTAGTATATTAAGTTTTGGTTCAGTAAATTTTAATGTGTTTGCTTTATAGAAAAACATAATGAATACTCTGAAAACTTCTTAAGAAAACATTTAAAGTCTAGTTTAGTCTTACTGCATTCTTAAATTCCCTAAGACGCAAAGCTGAAGTTACCTATTAAATTTGACTTAGGTATATTTCTTGTAATTATCTTTTTAAAAATGCCTTGTTACATTTCCTCTCAACTGTTGCATTTCTAACATTAAAAGTGCATTGATTAGATTGGGGCCTGGGCAGGGGTGGGGAGGGGGGAAGCCAAATGAAAATCTTGGACTTTTCATAGCCCAAGCCTGAGAGCAGTGTGATTACATGATGAGAGAATGACAAGGGTCTTGGTAATTTCATAGTGTTTCAGAAATCAACAGTTTAGATTTTTCTCTTTATTGAATAATATGTTTAAAGGCTCTTAGCAGATTTTTCAAATTTATTCTCACAGATCATTTACAGCAGTGTTTACTACTTTATTCTCTTTCTCTACTTATGCTTATGTGACACATTTTTTGATTATGGAAATTTAAAAAAATGATGAGTTAGGAGAATAATACATTGCTTTACTAGGACAAATTGGGAGTTATAATAGATGAGAAATGAAATGAGGAAAAGAAATGAATGAGAGAAAGAAGAGAGAAGGAAAATTGATGGGCCTACCATTTACTTGGCTTTGAAAATCATCTGTGACAATTTTATGTAATGGTTTTGGTGGCCTACGGCAGAAACAACTAACATGGGAGTCTGAGTCCCATAGGCAGTGACTCACTTTGGATTATTACATTCTCAGTGGTTGTCACTGGGAGTCCTTATGATGGCCACTGGGTGAGCTAAGAACTAGGAATTCCAGTCTTTGTTTTAATGATATTGTGGAAGAGAGTTAGTATGGGATGTTACGAACCTGAACTAAGTGTAATTGTCTCCCACCAAACCAAAAATAGACCTGTTTCATAAGGTTAAATTTGATTGATTATAATTATTGTTATCATACTATATTGAGTATGTGTAAGTACCAGACTCTTAAAAAGTTAACTTATTTAATCCTCAAAACAATGCTGTAAGGTAGTTACTGTTTCTATTTGTAGAGATGAAAGAACAAATTCAGAGCTCAAGGAACTTTTTCAGCTTTAAATTGAGAAGCTAAGATTTGAACCCAGGTCTGCCTGAATCCAAAGCTAGTGAGTGCTCTTTCCACTCTGCTGCTTTGCTTCCATTTAGAGAAGAATCTTCAGAAAGAAATCTGGTTTTTTTTGGTTAACTATAAATCTTTAGCTTTTTTCAAATGCCAGGGCTTCTCTGAGAGTATATATGTGAAATGGTTGTTGTGAATAAAGATTTTTTCTGTGTGTGGAGATTATTTATATTTACCAGTTTGTAAAAACTCAATCCTCTGTGCCCTATTTCCCCCCTTTTTTCAGAGACTCAGAAGTTCATTTAAGTAGGTGCTATACCTTGCTAAAACTTGCTCGCTAAATAACATAGACCCATGTTTCAGGGAGACAGCCCCTGACAACTACCAGATTTTACAGTTGGCCCTCCGTATCCGTGGGTTCCGCATCTGCATATTCAGTCAACTGCAGATCAGAAATATTTGGGGAAAAAAATTCTGGAAAGTTCCAAAATGCAAAACTTGAGTTTGTTGTTGGCTGGCAACTATTAACATAGTGTTTACATTGTATTAGGTATTATAAGTAATCTAGAGATGATTTAAAGTATACAGGACGATGTACGTAGGTTATATATGCAAATACTATGCCATTTTATTTAAGGGACTTGAGCATCCACGGATTTTGGTATCCAAGGGGTCCTGGAACAAATCTCCCATGGATACTGAGGGATGACTGTACTTTCTTAATTGTTGTCAGTAATGCCCAATTACTAAGCCCAGCAATGTAGGTAAATGTGAGACCTGGACCCTTTTTACTATGCCCCTGCTTTATTTGCTCTTGAGAGATTAAAATGAAAACTTAAATTAGCAACCTCTCTCCTCAGTTCACATGTTTTATAGCTAAGAAAGTACATTCTTTCTAAAAGATTTCCATAGGGACCAACAATTGATCTCATTCTGCAATTTATTGTCATAGCACTTGAGCTTAAGTATCTTAAGGCAGTCTTTGTTTAAAACTCTTTAAGGACTTTGCAGGGTACTGAAACTTGGATGTATTATTTGGGAAATGCCACAGAATAGGTATAGCAGTAATAGCAGAATTAACTTCTCACATTGTCCCCCACTATCCTCCCCCAAAGCAATATAAAACAACCCCTTAGAAATCTTTTTCTGCATTTATGATTTGGCTTATGAGAAGAATAGGATGTCTTTTTAAAATTTTCTCTTCTGATCCTTTTGTTTTTTTAAACTGTGGAACTTAGCATGGATGTTCATATTCAGAACAGCTTTTGTGATAGGCAGTATAAAATTCAGAACTGGGCTAAGGCTTTATACTTTATTCACACATTTCTGTTATGAATCAGTACATAATACTGCCCCCCCCATTTTTATGAACTATATTCCAAAAAGTAATCTGTTGACACCTGGCCCTTTTACTATTTCCCTGTTTTATTTATTCTTGAGAGGTCCTTATACAAATACTGAAAACTTGAAAGAAACAAAACTATGTACCAGCAATGTTGGCTTTATCTGAACTGAAGTCTTGTACTTCACTTGCACATTTAATATGTGTAATGGTTTTTTAAATGAAATCATTCTAGGTACAGTGATTGTACAACCAGAGCCAGTGCTGAATGAAGACAAAGATGATTTTAAAGGGCCTGAATTTAGAAGCAGAAGTAAAATGAAAACTGAAAATCTCAAAAAACGCGGAGGTAAATACAAGTGAAAATGAAAACATGAGTTTAAAGTGCTGTTTATGACCATATTGGAAAATCTGATGTGCTTACTAAAAATACCTCCACTTTTCTGCCCATTGTTTTTTAAAAGCACTACTTAAAAATAACTTCTGTTTCTTTCTGAGCTCTGAAGCAGAAAAGGTTAAACACCATTTATCAAAATGCCTTTGCCTTCAGTGGCTATTAAGTTATCTCAAGAAGCTTACTATTTCCTTCTTACACATGTTAGTTCTGTAATGCTTATATGCCAGAATACCATGTGTTCCCTCTCACCCCGAAAGAATTTTAGATTTGGATAAAATCTTGCCTGTGGCCTTCAGGTAACTTTATACATATCTAAAACATTGTTTCACAGAGTGATGGACATCTGCATTAGTGTCACCTGGGGTGCTTATTAAAAATGCAAGTCCCTTGACTCCACTCATAACAATTTAGAATTTCTGAGGATGATGTCAAGACTCTGCCCCAGTTTGTTCTTATGTGCGTTCAAGTCAGAGATCTATTGATCTAAGGATATCAGTGCAGAGATGAGTAGGAAGGAGATGGGAACTAGAGCTAGTAACCTTCCCTCCATCTGTCTGAGCCGCCTTTCCCTTTGTATGTCTACCCTCACTTATACACACAACCATTGGCTAATCATCTGTAGAAAGTTAGCATAAGGAGGATTCATTTAAAAATTTACGACAGTGGAGTATGTGTCCCACTTGTTTGTGTGTGTTTAAAATAGTACCTGTATGTATTTTTTGGGCAGATTAAGAGAGTCAGAATCCATTACTGTAGGAAGAATGAATCTCTAAAAGATAGAACATGACACTAAGTTTCTAAATAGAAGTGTAATGGAAGCGTGTCTGTTAAATATTTATCATGTACATTGTGAAATTATAGCATAGTTCTTGGTGAAATTTTGTGAAGATTTTAATTTCAGTGCTATGTGATATCTTGATGGTACTAGTAAAATATATCTGTGTTTATAGTATATATACACATATATGTGTATATACACATATATGTATATATATGTGTGTGTATGTGTGTGTGTATATATATATATATATAGGTTTTCAGATTCAATAATTCATTAGATTGTTAGAGAAAATCAAGGAAATGTTGTTTAGTCTTTTGTCCACAAGGGGGTGTTCTACCCCTCTCAAGCATAAGGAAGATTCATTGAGAATCTAATTCATAGTAAGGAAACTGCCATTGCAACAACAGAGCTCACCAAAGCTAAGTAGTATTTAAAATAAGAGAATCTGCAAGTAGAAGGTGATGATAAGGACCAGTAGTAAGAGTTTCTTCTTTTTATTTCTGATTATGGGTCCTCTAGGGAAGACAGATAACTAAGTGTATTGTGTCAAAATTAATATCTAATTGGTGGCTTTTGGGGAGGGACTCTGGAGCAGTCAGTGTCTCAAATGTGGATAACAGCTAAAAGGAGAATAAAAAAGAACCACAGTCATTGGGGAGGGTGTTTTTAGTGACACTTTACTATGCTGCTGGTATTTGGTCTGAGCTGATATGTCTCTGGAACATTTTATTGAGTGTTCTGTGTAAGAATGTTTATATTGTGCTTAAGGGAAAATGTATGTTTATAGCCATATAATAGCACTTAAAATCTTTCATGTTAATTTTTGTCTTAATGATTTTCTACATCTTTAAGCTGTCGGAAATCACACAGGAAATTTAACTATGTTTACTCATGTACACATGTACGAATAAACTAGTGATCTGAGGTACTGAATTGCTAGTTAATATTCAAACTTCCTAGGAAAGTTAGTTCTAAAATTGAATTCTAATATAGGAAACTGTCAAGAAGGTAAACTTTATACATAAAATAATCTTATAATGATTTGAAACAAAATTAATCAAAAAGATATTGATCATTTCAGGAGCCATTGTTTTTTAAATACCATAGCCTATTTTGATATCCTTTCCCTAGTTTAATTGTTAGAAAACATATTTTACACCTAATTTTTCTATATGGCAGAATAATTTTGTTCTTTCTTTAAAACTGATAAAATGTATTGAGCTCAGAATTGAAAATGCCTCTTTTCCATTTATATACTATATATATTATAATCATGAAGATATTTCATAGCTAAAAATAAAAATTTAAAACATGCATGCATAGAAACAAGTATGTATACTAAAGGACCACTTGAGCATTTTACAGTATTTGTTTCAGATCTCACTTAAATAAGATCTCACTTAAACTAATTGGTTTAGTCCTACTCTCATCTATATATCCTTCCTTTCACACCTCAGGTTGTGATTATTTGAGGTTTGTATGCATGTGTGGTGTTTCCATGCATGTTTTTATATTTTTCTTTACATATTTTTATTCTTACAGCATTTATTTTTCATTTAAAAGTATACAAAGTAGTATCTTGTATATATCCTTTTGTAGCATTTCTCATCCAATATTGATTTTGACATCTATTCATATCAGTAAATGTACAATCTAGTTTTTTTACTTTTTGCTCTTCTGTAGAATTTAGTTGTATGAGTAAACCACTATCCATTTTCCAAATGTGAAATTATTTCTAATTTTCATTTTCAGATTTTTCAAATTTGCTAATTAACACTGCAATGAATATCCTTTATATGAGTCATTGTGCACAGATGGGAGAAAGTCTCCAATGGATCACCTAGTTTTTTTAAATTCTTGAGTGATATATGTGCAAAAGCACATAGAAGATACTTAATATTATCTAACAGTGGATGAGCATTCAAACTCTAGCTTTTTGTTACCTTGTTTATATGAATGCAATCATTATTTGACATGAAAAAGCACACTGTATATTTATTTATGTTAAAAGAAATACAGAATATATGAATACTCAAGATCAAAACTAATGGAGGAGAATATGATTTAAAGGAAAATATTAGCAGCTTATATAGTAGGTCTTCAAATTCTCTGGAAAAGTATCATGGTGCCCTTATACCTTGGTTAAACTTTTTTAACTTATGCAAATAAAGATATTTGTGATAATGCTTGGGTCCATGGTGCTTTGGATCTTAAAACTAAGAAAAACACAAAATAGAAAATTAAAAGGTGAGAAATGTATTTATTGTTTTGTCTTTTATTTAGGGATAGAGACAGTTTTTTTTTCTTTTTTTAAGTCATTCACCTTTTTTTTTTTTGGTGAATGCAGGCATTTTCACTGGCCTCTTTTGAATCATAATCTACCATCTTATTTGGATCAAGGTCTTGGTTGCACATCAGAGTCATCTGTAAAACTTAAAAAAGAAAAAAGTGTCCAGCAGATCCCCATTCAGTGGGTTAGGGATGGGAATGGCTGTCCCTGTTTTTAAAAGATTCTTTGGCTGATTCTACTGTTCAGCTCAGATTGTGAAGCACCGTGCAGAACTATGGACGAGAGTGAGGCAGGAGAGGTCCCCTTTATTCTTGTGTAGGTTATCTTCTATCTGTTTTTCTGCAGAAACTGTGGAATGGGGCTCTGTCAAAACGCAGCCATTCTGAAGTTTTGCTGTCAAGATAGATATACCTGCAAATCTTATTTGTCGTTATTTGGAAATAATAGACAGTGCCGATATGGAATAGACATAGAAAAAAGGCAGGTTAATGGGGATTGTGGATAGTATTGAAGGGACTCTTAGGAAGGAAATTGGTAATATAAAGTTAGCAGGTTTTCACATAATATTGAAAGGATCTGTGTAGACAATTCCATTTTGAGAATAAAAACTTTATGGCATACCTAACTTAAGTACAGGGTTACAAAAGAATCTATTCCATATATTTCACTTCCCCATTCTTTAAGAACTGATCCTGAATTTCTTTGTGAAGCAGTAGCAAAATGAAAAAGAGCTCTTGACCCCTATTTTTAGAACTTTTTTTATAGAGTCTCTTCATGTTATATCAAGTTGTTGTAAGAAACAGGGTTTGTATCTGTAAAAGGGAGCAAATTAGCTCTGCAATTTGTCAAGGTTGTCATTTTTTTAGTAAGTCTGTAAAATTATTAACCTTTGTATTTGTGTCCAAAATGTCATTTTCTCAAGGATTATGAGGTATTTAATTTTCAATTCGAATGTTGGGAAATGCTGACTAAAGTATATATCTTTTTGTACGTGTGTATATGTGTGAATAATGGTCACTCCTTTCTCCTAGAAGATGGGCTTCATGGGATTGTGAGCTGTACCGCTTGTGGACAACAGGTGAATCATTTTCAAAAAGATTCCATTTATAGACATCCTTCACTGCAAGTACTTATTTGTAAGGTATGTAATGATCTGTTGATAATTAATTCCACAAATATTTGAATGCTTAACATGTGTCAGACTTTTGATGCACAGTGATGAAGACGGAAATGGTCTCTGCCATTGGAGGACATATAATGTAGTGGGGAAGACAGACATGAAAGGCCCAATAAGTGCTATGATAGGGGAGTTACTGTGTACTTTGGGAACACACAGGAAGCTTTTGTAATTTGGAGTTGGGTGGTGGGGGGCTTTATAATGGAGATGATGTAGGTGGTACCTGAAATATAAATAGGAATTAGCTTGGCAAAGTGGGATTGGTTCAGCATATTCTAGGCTAGAGGCAACATGGTATTCAAAGGCTCAGAGGTGAGGGAGAGTGTGGTGTCTTGGGAAACTGCAGAGTATATATGTGTGCACACATATGTTTTACAACATTCCCTCTTACATAGCCTAATTACCCAAATCTGAACTCTCCATGTGGAGCAGGGTTTTGACATAATTTGGAGATAATAGAATTAAAAATGTTTCATATGTATTGAAGATAGTTTTAACAGTCTGTGTAAACTTTTTTTACAAGTAATACCTTGGAATTAATTTTAAATATCTATAATATCAAGGTTATCATTTCCCTAACTCATATTACTGCTAAAATTAATCCTTTGTTAGTTTGCTTCCCAATAAAACGCCTCCTTGAATTACAGGGGCAGAGCAGACTTTCCTTAATTAGAGTTCCAGTTCTAGATCTTGTATGAATTTTTGGTAGATGTAGACCTCCTTAAATGTACTAAATTTACTCCATCTTTTAGTAATTTGTGTCCTCCTTTCCTTGAATTCATTTCAGCCAGGAGCCTGTTTAGGGTACATGTTGTAGCTTCTAGTTTTAAATTGTGACAGCTGAATTTTATATTGTTGGATTTGTAATGTGCATTGCTTTTCTCTTTTCTTACATACGTGATTGGTTTTTTTTTTTAAGGGCCAGTCTGTTGTGCCTAGCCCATTTCAGTAATCAGTAGTTTTCATCAGTGGGCATGGAACCTTCCCTTTTCTCCAGTCCCAGTGAAAAAGAATTTAAAGTCATTCAGACTTGGATTTGAATACCAGTTTTGCCTCTTCCAGTTGTATAACTTCAGGAGATTTAGTTACATATTAATGAACCAAAGCCTTTTCTCTCAAATTGGGCTGTAATACCTCCTACCTTGCACAGTAGGTATTTGAGATTTAAAGATAATATGGGTTAATGTAGGATACTGTTGCTCAGCTCTATACATAGTAGCTGTTTATATATGATGACTAGTAAATTATTATTAACTAATAGCAACATCTAATACATTTTTATGTAGATCTTTGGTAGCTAGTCATATGAGATCAGAAATTTGCTTTACCAAAATCTTTTATCAACTTTTATGTAAGGAAAAGTGGTACTTGATGATATGGAAATCTATTTCAAGGAATTAATTTCTTGAGCTATTCCTGTGTCTGGAAAGTACTCATAGGGGTAATACAGTGTTATCGCTTTGATTCTCTAAAACACACACACACACACACACACACACATTCCCTGTACTTTTTTAATGACTTAAAAAATAAAGTTTTTCTCCTTTATGAATGTTAACAGTTTTGAATAAATTTCCCCTTTCCCTTTTCTTTTTTAATAGAATTGCTTTAAATATTACATGAGTGATGATATTAGCCGTGACTCAGATGGAATGGATGAACAGTGTAGGTAGGTAATAAATCAAGATGAACTAAAATTCAGTGTTGTCTGCTTCTTGAGGCGAAATTCTTACATAGTCTGTTACTAGATCTATTTTTTATAGTATCATCATTGATATCTTTCGTGAAAGGTTGTTCTTTTCCATGAAGTCCTTGGTTTATGTCTTTTAATTTTCTAATAAAGAATAAGTAAATGACCAAAATTACTTTGCTATTAAAATTGCTGCCAGGAAATTTTAAATTGCTTTAATACTGTAAAGGTTTAAAATGTGTTTCATTTCAGAATAATATTTTAATCTTTAAATAATTTCAGATGGTGTGCAGAAGGTGGAAACTTGATTTGTTGTGACTTTTGCCATAATGCCTTCTGCAAGAAATGCATTCTACGCAACCTTGGTCGAAAGGAGCTGTCTACAATAATGGATGAAAACAACCAATGGTATTGCTACATTTGTCACCCGGAGCCTTTGTTGGATTTGGTCACAGCATGTAACAGCGTATTTGAAAACTTAGAACAGTTGTTGCAACAAAATAAGAAGAAGATAAAAGTTGACAATGAAAAGAGTAGTAAAGTATATGACCATACACCCAGATTTTCTCCAAAGAAAAACAGTTCAAATTGTAATGGAGAAGAAAAGAAATTAGATGATTCATGTTCTGGTTCTGTAACCTACTCTTATTCAGCACTAATTGTGCCCAAGGAGATGATTAAGAAGGCAAAGAAACTGATTGAGACTACTGCCAACATGAACTCCAGTTACGTTAAGTTTTTGAAGCAGGCAACGGATAATTCAGAAATCAGTTCTGCTACAAAGTTACGTCAGCTTAAGGCTTTTAAATCTGTGTTGGCTGATATTAAGAAAGCTCATCTTGCGTTAGAAGAAGATTTGAATTCAGAGATTCGAGCTTTGGATGCTGTAAACAAAGAGAAAAATACCAAAGAGCATAAAGTCATAGATGCTAAGACTGAAACAAAAGTACGAAAAGGGGAAAAACCCTGTGCTTTGGAAAGGAAGGATTTTTCAAAATCAGAAGCTAAACTGTCAAGAAAGCAGGTAGATGGTGAGCGTGTGGATCAGAGTGTTGCAGTAGAGGAACAAAGAGCAAATAAAAATCCCAGTGGTGAACATAAAAAATCTGATAAAAAAGAAGAACCTCAGTATGAACCTGCTAACACTTCTGAAGACTTAGACATGGATATTGTGTCTGTTCCTTCCTCAGTTCCAGAAGACATTTTTGAGAATCTTGAGACTGCTATGGAAGTTCAGAGTTCAGCAGATTATCAGGGAGATGGCAACAGTGGAACTGAGCAAGAACTGGAGAGTTCTGTAAAATTAAATATTACTTCAAAAGACAACAGAGGAGGTATTAAATCAAAAACAACAGCTAAAGTAACAAAAGAATTATATGTTAAACTCACCCCTGTTTCCCTTTCTAATTCCCCAATTAAAGGTGCTGATTGTCAGGAAGTTCCACAAGATAAAGATAGCTATAGAAGTTCTTGTCTGAACCCCAAGCTGGAGAACTGTGGACTTGAACAGGAAAAGAATGATAATGAGCATTTGGTTGAAAGTGAAGTTCCATTACTTTCAGAAGAATCTGATCTTCGAAGATCCCCACGTGTAAAGACTACACCCTTGAGGCGACAGACAGAAACCAACCCTACAACATTTAATTCAGATGAAGAAAATAATGACACCGTTAAGGAGAAACAAAAACTATCAGTTTCAATGAGAAAAAAGGATAAGCGGAATTCTTCTGACAGTGCTATAGATAATCCTAAACCTAATAAATTGCCTAAATCTAAGCAGTCAGAGACTGTGGATCAAAATTCAGATTCTGATGAAATGCTAGCAATCCTCAAAGAAGTATCCAGGATGAGTCACAGTTCTTCTTCAGATACTGATATTAATGAACCTCATACAAATCATGAGAAGACTTTGTATGATGTAAAGACTCAAACAGGAAAAGATGATAAAGGAAAAAGGAAACGAAAAAGTTCTACTTCTGGCTCAGATTTTGATATTAAAAAAGGCAAATCAGCTAAAAGGTCTATAATTTCTAAAAAGAAACGACAAAACCAGTCTGAATCTTCTAATTATGACTCAGAATTAGAAAAGGAGATAAAGAGTATGAGTAAAATCGGGACTGCCAGAACAACAACAAAAAGAGTTCCAAATAAAGAAGATTATGATTCTTCTGAAGATGAAAAACACAGCAAAAAAGGAATGGATAATCAAGGTCAGAAAAGTTTGAGGACTGCCCAGGAAGGATCATCTGATGATGCTGAAAGGAAAGAAGAGAGAGAGAATTTCTCTTCAGCAGAAGGCATAGTTGATAACGACAAGACTCTCATGGAATTGAGAGATCGACTCTCTAAGAAGCAGCAGCCAAGTGTTTCCTCAGATGGTGCTGATAAGCTTTCTTCTGGGAAAGAGGAGAGTTTTAATTCTCCAGAAGACAAAAAGGTTGCTGAAACTAAAGAAAAGAGTAAGTATCTGAAAACCAAAATGTGTAAGAAAGTACAAGGTGGCTTATCTGATGTTGCTGAGAAGTTCCCAAAGAAAGAACAGAGTGATGAATCCTCTGAAGATGATAACAAGCAGAGCAAAAAGGGAACTGAAGAAAAAGAAAAGAAAACTACAGACTTGAAGAAAAAAGTAATTAAGATGGAACAACAGTATGAATCATCATCTGATAGCACTGAGAAATTACCCGAAGGAGAAGAAATTTGTCATTTTCCTAAAGGCATAAAACAAAGTAAGAATGACACAACTGATGGGGAAAAGAAGAGTAAAAAAATAAAAGATAAAACTTCTAAAAAGAAGGATGAATTATCTGATAATGCTGAGAAGTTACCAGGGAAAAGAGATAGTTGTGATTCTTCCGAAGATAAGAGGAGTAAGAATGGAACATCCAGTCGAGAGAAGAAAAGGTGCAACTTACCTGAAAAGAGTTCAAGGAAGAGACAAGATTGTTCATCATCTGATACTGAGAAATATTCCATGAAAGAAGATGGTTGTGATTCTTCTGATAAGAGACCAAAAAGAATCGAATTAAGGGAAAGAAGAAATTTAAATTCAAAGAGAAATACCAAGGAAGTACAAAATGGCTCATCATCTTCTGACGTTGAGGAGAGTTCCGAAGATAATAAAAAGCTGAAGAAACAAAGAGCTTCAGCTAAAAAGAAGGCAGGCAATATGAAGGAGAAAATGAGAAACTCCCTAAGAACAAGCACTAAAAGGAAGCAGGCTGACATTTCTTCCTCATCTTCTTCTGATATAGGAGATGATGATCAGAATTCTGTAGGTGAGGGGAGCAGTGATGAGCAGAAAATAAAGCCTGTGACTGAAAATTTAGTGCTGTCTTCACATACTGGATTTTGTCAATCTTCAGGTATGAGAAAATAAATAGAAAATTTGTACTTTCTCCCTCTTGAATAACTACATTGTTTAATTTTCTCTGAAGTCAATCAAACGCAAGGTTACTTACTGTTTAGGAAAACACCATTTAAAAATTCTTTATAGAGATTTACTAGAAACTCTTTCTCCATTTTTTGGTCATCATTGGGAGGTATTTGCAGCATTGTTAGTATTCTGTATCAGTTATACCAAGTGTGTTGGGTAAATTTATCAATGTTTAATGCTTTTATTTGGAGTAATGAAAAGTAATTTATGAAGGAAGATCAGACTGGTGCTAGTAGTTCAGTAGATATTTATTCAAGTAATGGAGATGAGTGCTTGGTATGGATATAATGTGTGTGAAAGTTTTAACTGCTTTGCCATTCATCTGACTTTTTAAATTGGGCAGAGTAACTTTGTGTCCTATGAAATCCTCAGAAAAATTTAAGTTTATTTATTGAAACCCTTTGCTTATGCTCATCAATTTTTTTCTAATGACATGAAAAGATATTTCCATTTTTAACACTAACAAAATAGAGGAAGAAAGAAATCCAGAAAGTAGGTGGATTACCCTACCCTGATGAGATAGAGCACTAGGACAATTAGGGTTTGGGTCAACCGGTCAATAATATGCCCCCCCCAAAAAAAAATTAAAAATATTTATCATTATGGCAGTTCTTTAAAAAAAATCAGTTGTATAGTAAATGTACACTTGTTGGTCATATTGTCTTTTTTTTTAAGTCAGTAAAACCCATCAGTTAACCAGGGACACTTAAAATTAATTTTAAAATATAAAGTAGATTTCTTATGTAACTGTTTTCCCAGCACAAGCAAAATGTTAAAAATTTTTCCTTTCTTTCCTTTTGTTGTGATTTTCCATTTATCCCAGTTGGATTTTAGTGGAATTCACTTGAATCTTGATTTTTAGTAAAACTTTAAATCCCTTTTTTGGAGCTCCAGTGAGTTGGTTTGAAAACCAAGTGGGATATGCATGGTATACTCATTTTAATGCTCTGCTATATCAGATACCTAGATGGAGTTCTGCCTGTATGGCTGTTTTAACTACAGGTCCGCAGTCCCTGATATTCTTGGGGCTTAATGTATTTCAGGATTTTCAACTTTTTTGTTTTTAGGAAGGTAATACAGAGTAGTTATCATATATTATATAGTAGCCCCAGTAGGTCCTGAGGCCCCATAATCAAACACATTAGTATTTCCGCAGCAAAACATATGAACGTTTACATGTAAGAGGAATAAACAGTTCAGATTAGATTTTGCTGCCAAATGAACTTTGGCACCACCTTACAAAACTTTAAATTTTGAGAACTTTTTGGATTTTCAAATTGTGTATGAGATTGTGGATTTGTATTCAAAACATAATATAATAGTTGCTAAATTTATTTATTCTCCCAATATGTCCAACTTAATTTAGGTGACAGTTTTTATGAGCTCTTAAAAAGCCTCCCCTGCTCCCATGAATTTAGAGGATTCCAATTTATTCAGCAATAGTTGGGTATCCTGTTACAGGGTACAACATTTTCCTAGAAATTGTGGCATGGCATGACCAACCAAGATGAAGAACACGATCCTAGGAGGTTATAGTCCAATGAGCAAGATAGACATAGATAAGTCATTTTTAAAAAAAAATACCAGAAGAAAGATATAAAACTAAAATGGGGCTGTGTGATAAATAGCAAGTGAGCCACTTAATATAAACATTGGAGGAAGACTTAAAAGAACGGGTAGCATTTGAACTTGACTTTGAAGGATGGGTAACATTTTCAAAGGTGTAGTAAAGAGGAACAATGGTAATATCACTAGTAATATTTCATTTGAAGATTGGTCTGTTTGAATGAGGTATTTATTGTGAGTTTGCTAAGATATTGTGAGATTTATTATTGCCTTTCTATATTTAGCATATTTCTATCCTGAACCTGTAGGTGTCTGTGTTCCTTATGGGATTTTTTTCTCCAATATTTTCCCCCAGTATTTTATTATGAAAAAATATTAAATATGCAGAAAAATTTCTACAGTTAACATTGTACTGTATTTGCTTTATCACATACTTATCTATATATCCTATGTATCCATCAGTGTACCTAACTTTTCCCCCCTTTTAACTGTTTATTTTGAAATAATTATAAATTCACAGGAAGTTGCAAGAAAATGTACAGGGAGGTTTTGTATGCCTTTCATTAATTTCCCTCCAATGGTAACATCTTTCATAATTATAGTGCAATCTCAGAACCAGGAAACTGAAGATTTATTCAGATTTCACCAGTTTTACATGTACTCCTTCATTTGTGTGTGTGTGTGTAAGTATAGTTCTGTGCAAAATTTGTATCACGTGTAGCTTTGTAAATATAACCACCACAGACAACCAAGATACTGAACTTTCATTACCACAAGTTCCTTTGTGCTACCCCTTATGCACACTCCCTAGCATATCTCTATTCTTAACCTGTGGCAATTGTTAATCTGATTTCCATCTCTGTAATTTTGTTATTTTGAGATGGAATCATGAAGTGTGTAACCTTTTGAAATTGTCTTTTTTCACTCAGTGTAATGCCCTTGAAATCTTTGATGCATTTGAAAGTAAATGGTAAACATTAACATAATTCTCCCTGGTTACTTCAGCGTATATAGTGTTAACTAGAGTACAGTGTTTAAGTTTGTTTTTGAGGCAAAATTTACATACAATGAAATGCACAAATCTTAATCTCTTTATAGTTTTAATCAAAGGATAGAAACGTTGCTTTTTGTAAGGAAGTAAGTTTTACTGTACTTGAATATATCTCTGGATGATTCTACTCCTGGATACCATACAAATTCAGGTATATTTTAAAATTATTTGGTACTACCAAGTATTAATAGCATTTTAAAAAGTTCTTCAATGATACAGGAAAAATTAGACATCTGTTAACTTTAAACTTAAAATGGATCACTACAAAGCTTATTTTAGCCACAAACTTATGCTAATACGGTGGTGAATGATAAAAGATGGATGAGTTTTAAAATTCTTGTGCTCTGGGAAGGAACTTTGAAATATGTAACATCCAACTATTTATTATTTTGCTGCTGACACTTCTTAAATTCCCCATTGTACTTTCCTTATAAATCCTTTTTATTCATGTTTTGGATCCCAGAGTATACTTTAGAACTCACTAGTTGTTTTAAAGTTTTTGGCTTTCAGTTTTATTTTACATGGTTTTACTTATAAAGATAATTTAAAGCTAATTTTAAGTACACTTTTGTTCCTTCAAGGAGATGAAGCCTTATCTAAATCAATGCCTGTCACAGTGGATGATGACGACGATGACAATGATCCTGAGAATAGGTATGAATCCATCTGTAAGGACTTTAAAAAGATTATAACACACCCTAGGTGTGGGCACAAACAGCAGCAAGGGAACCACAAGCAGGTTTAAAAACCAGGAGTGCCTGCCTTAGAAAGACTCGCTCACAGTCTTCCTGCAAGTTTGAAAGAAAGGCCAGAAAATGGGCTAAAACTCAGAAACCTTAAAAGAAATATAAATAGTAACACACCTAGCATAGGGTGTGTTATAAATACAGCACTGTCATTTTTTATGTTTCCCTGTAATTTAGTGATAGTTTTTTGAGAATATTTTAATTTTGACAGATTATTTTATTGGTAAAAGTAAATCATATCTCAATAAATTGGTGACAACAGACATCTCTCTCCTCAATATTTGATTATTGTTTTAAATTGCCATCCAGTGTGGTGGTCCTATTCATTAAAACCTGTTCAAAGTGAAAAAGAGACTGCTAAGATGTTTAAGATTAAGAAATTGCTTTCAAAATAAGTATGAATTTGCAAAGTATCTAGACTGATTTAGATTTTAACAGTTTGTCAAATAAAATAGAAGTAGACAGTATGATAGTATTAATTTTAATACTTAGTAGGTTTATATGGGAACAGTGTAGCCTGTACAGATTGACTTAACTAAGGAATAGCTGGGAGAAGAAAAAAAATAAAGATACACCCATATTCTAGCAATGAGGAATAAAGAAAACAAAGGTATTAAAGAGTATAACCATAATGTTTTTACATATTTTTTAAACCCTTCCTGGACTATAGGATCCCCCACACTCATAATCTTCAACGAGAAGACAGTGTGGTATAGTGGATGGAATTTTGGAATAATGGGGATAAGAATATCTGACTTCTAGTTCTAACCTTTCTGTGTGATCGTGGGCAAGTGACTTAACTACTCTTTGCCAAAATTTTCTGTTCTTTAAAACAAAAGGGTTGGATGAAATGTTTTCTGATTAATTCTAGCACCAAAAAATCTATAATAGACTTGAGGTTTTACTACTTAGTACTGTATTAACCATCCATTTATTCCTAATAGTAAACTCTAATAATTAAGAAAACATGAAGATAAACATGTAATTTTTGTGTCATAATTTTGTAAGGAATTAACTTTGAGTTGGTAAATACTGTGGGGCCAGCTGTCACTCTAGCTGTTTTATATCTTGCTGGTGCTGATAGATTTTTCTGTTTCAAAGATCAGCATTCTCCTAATTAACAGGAGGGCGTTTTTATTAAGGTGAATGAACAATTTTATTTTGCACTTTTGAATAGAGCTTAATCACAGATGCAAAGACTCAGATGCTGCTTTACCTACTTATTTTTTTTTTTTTACAAAAGTTTATTCTTAAATGTACAATAGGTTCCAAGACAACACTTCATTCTAGCTATAGGTGGCAACAGATGTTATGGCAGGGAATCCAGATGTTTAATCCAGATGTTTAAACAGGAATGGAACTAAGGATCATCATTGCCTCAGGCACAAGGAACAGCTTACTTTTTGCCATATTTCTTAATTCCGCCTGTTGCCAGGGGGCCTTTCCCCGCGGCCTTCGCTTTTAGCTCCTCGAGTTTCTTTTGCTCCTCCTTCTGTTTCTGCTTGAATGCCTTATCTTGTCCATCTCCTTGGCTTGCTTCTTGGGCTGCTTCAGGGGCTTCTTCTTGCCACCTGCATGCGACACGAGCACGCTCAGCCTGGCCCCCGCCGGGTCCCGTCCCTCTCCGCCCCCTACCTACTTATTTTTTAATTAAAAATATATATCCAATTATTTTGTGGGATCGGGGTCGGGTCCATAATGGAATGGTGAAGGCATACATTTTATTCATCAGGCATTTTATATAGTATATGATATGATCACAGTGAGATTATGAAAGCATTTAAAATTTTATTCTCTTTTAAAATGCTTTAATTCCTCTTCATTTATTTATGCTACCATTTGCTTTCTTGTAAATCTTAAGGCCTCAAATGTTATTGAAAGGCTAATAATGTTTAAAACATGCTATATCCTAATTTACTTATGAGTTAGAATCTTAATTTCGTATTTAAACACCAAATGAGTGTCATTAAGGTATGATAATTTTTTATTTGTGTTAGAGCTTGTCAAAATATAAATATCATTTTTATCTTTTAAGCTACTTGATCATATCTCTCTGTAACTGGCAATTATTTTATTGAAAGGTGTCTTTAATTCCATCTTGCATTTGTGATTAAAAAATACAGCCCTGTTGAGTACTTTTGAGAAGAATTGAATTTTACCTTGAGCATGTTTTTCTTTATATTCAGTTTAGTGTGCTTTTATAAAATATGCCATTAATAACTTGTTTCATATCCAATATACCAATGAGGTATCTAATACCCATGGGTTATCTAATGATGGGGATACAAATACCTTCTTGAATTATTTTGGTATAGACAGCGTACTTGAGCATATTTGAATATGCACTAAACAACTTTTAAAAATTTGTTTTCAGATCATGATAAAGTCTTGGAATTATTTTTACCTTTCACATTTTTGAGTAGGATGTATTTTGGTAGACAGCATATTGTAATTGTGTATAAATTTGTACACAATTGTGTAATTGTGTATAAATTTCATATGCTTTGCCTTTTTAGCAGTATTGTAATACATTTTCAGTGTTAATGTTTATGGAGAGGTAAATAGTGTATTAATGCAAATGGTTAACTATTTGGATGCAATAAATTTCTGTAAAACTTTTCGCTTGTTCAAGCATTTAATTTTAATTATAATCCATCTTTTCATGAGAGTTGAAAGAATTTGATTGAACCAAGATATGTAGGCTAGTTTGTAGCCAAAGAAGTTTTGATATTTCTAAAATTGACGAAGTAATAATTCCCAAAACATATGTACTTATATATGACATATTTACTTATATATGTGTGTGAAAGTTTTACAACAGATTTCACCATTGTTTATCTTTTCTGTTTTAAAGTTATAATAGCTTTTGAGGTCATTTAAAGAACTTAGTCATGTCCTGAATATTTCAGTAGGTGTGAATAAATAAGTTTATGTTATTTTAGTGTATTTAGTCTATTATGTATTTAGTCTATTATGTAGTATCATTCATATTTGAAAGTAAATGTATGCTGTTGTGAGATAGAGTGGTCTAACTTGTAAAGTAATTTCTATTTAATTGCATTTATTTAATAAACAATGACAAGAATTATAGGTTGAATAACAGGTTAACTTTTACGATTTTTTGACTGAGCTTTTTAGAAAAAATTAAATAGTGGACGAACTTTATACTTTCAATTTTGTATAACTGAGAATTTACTTCAAATTTTATAGCTTAGACTTTATGTACTTTTTGAAAGGGAGAATAATAATATAAAACAGTTTGTCAGGTTATTTAAATTATACCCGTAATTTTAAAGTCATTTATTTGAATGTGCCATTATGTTAATGTTGCCTTTCAAATACCTGTTAGTTATGTTTGAAATTGGTTCTTTCATTGAAAGGATATTTAATGTCCTATATTTTAATACCTGCACTGTGAATTAGCCTCAGTCATAAGATGGTAGTGTATTCAAGTTCAACAGTGATAGTGTTGAGGATTATTAAACCAGGCTTTGCTTTAGGGGTTGCATACTAAAACAGTCACTGAAGAATCCATTCCTCCCAAAAAAGAAATATTTTAAGAATATTCTTCATTTGTATTTTTACAGGGCGTGGAAAATATTTAAAACTGAGCTTTTAAGAGGAGAAAACTAGATTGCTACATTTTTTTCTAAATCAGCATTCTTTTTTTTTAATTCCAATTTTGTTTAAAAGCTGAGGTTTTTATATGGATACCCTCTCCTGCCACACAGATACATGTATTTACTTTGTAGTTGAAAAATGCTTAGTTGGGTCTACAAATACCGCATAATTTTTCTCATAATTTCTCTCTCAGTGGGACTAAATGATTTTTTTTTCATTGAAGCAAAGTTTGATTTAGAGATTGCTTAAAGAAATTACCCAATGTTAATAGAAGTTCTGTGTTTTTTTTTATAAATTTATTTATTTATTTATTTTTGGCTGTGTTGGGTCTTCGTTTCTGTGCGAGGGCTTTCTCTAGTTGCTGCGAGCGGGGGCCACTCTTCATCGTGGTGCGCAGGCCTCTCACTGTCGTGGCCTCTCTTGTTGCAGAGCACAGGCTCCAGTCGCGCAGGCTCAGTAGCTGTGGCGCACGGGCTTAGTTGCTCCGTGGCATGTGGGATCTTCCCAGACCAGGGCTCGAACCCGTGTCCCCTGCATTGGCAGGCAGATTCTCAACCACTGCGCCACCAGGGAAGCCCAAGAAGTTCTGTTTAATTATTGTGGGACTACACCGTAGCCTTCAAATTTTCCAAGTATTTTATCATTTGGTAATACTTTGCTTTTCAGACTGGAAAACATGCAAATGATTATTTTTTTTCCCTACTAGCTCGGTGTAGGTATTCTTTTATTTTTAATTTAATTTAATTTTTTAAACATCTTTATTGGAGTATAATTGCTTTACAATGGTGTGATAGTTTCTGCTTTACAACAAAATGAATCAGCTATATATATATACAAATGTTCCCATATCTCTTTCCTCTTGCGTCTCCCTCCCTCCCACCCTCCCTATCGCACCACTCCAGGCGGTCACAGAGCACCGAGCTGATCTCCCTGTGCTAGGCGGCTGCTTCCCACTAGCTATCTACCTTACGTTTGGTAGTGTATATATGTCCATGCCTCTCTCTCGCTTTGTCACAGCTTACCCTTACCCCTCCCCATATCCACAAGTCCATTCTCTAGTAGGTCTGTGTCTTTATTCCTGTTTTACTCCTAGGTTCTTCATGACATTTTTTTTCCTAAATTCCATATATATGTGTTAGCATGCAGTATTTGTCTCTCTCTTACTGACTTACTTCACTCTGTATGGCAGATTCTAGGTCTATCCAACTCATTATAAATAGCTCAATTTCGTTTCTTTTTATGGCTGAGTAATATTCCATTGTATATATGTGCCACATCTTCTTTATC